GCGGCGGCTCCGTCTGGGAGCCGGTTGGCATTGGCTCTGTCGGCCATGGGGGGAGCTTTGGGCAGCTTCTCACAGAAGCCACCCCTGCAACTTTGGGCAGCTTCTCACAGAAGCCCCCCCCGCCACCAGAACCTTTGCCATGCAAACCCTTGCCACGCCATGCAGGTCAGCACGTACAAGGGGACAGAAGTCAATGGCCGGATTGAATTAAGTCTGTTGTGTCTAGATGGGGACACCACCTGTCCCTTCATTTTCTTCTTGTATATTCTACTGATTTCTGGTATCATTTAGCCTAATATGTGGCTTGCCTAAGATGTAAGGTTTTTTAATCGTAGTAAGGGCCAGGCATTTACTATCTTAAGATTACAGCACTTGCTCTGAATTCAGGTAAGAAATGGTATTCTTACAAGTTTCCCAAGGTCATAAATCGGGTTCATGGCCAAACCAATAATAGCAGGACACCCCTCCTTTCGTTCGTGTTTTAATTAGGCTAAACAGCGTTGAAGTAGCTCTAGGGTGATGGTGAAGCCATTTGCTGCATGCAAGCCTGGAAGCGCTGGCAAATAGTGTAGGGACTGTTGCTATATGGTAGTGAGGCTGCTTGCTTCTCTTGGTGCTTCTGAGGTGGTTTTGAATTTTTAGGCTGCTATGTTTTTTTAAAAAATACACATTTTGTAGGTTGTGATCAATTTAATAGTGGGTGGGTCTATTAATATATTACAAAGAACAAGGATTTTGCAGTAGAAGCTTTAAAAAAGATTATAGATAGTATATTCTCAACTCTAAATGCATGACATAAAATTGCTTTTGTACAAAACCAGGTAAAGCGTTGCCCTAAATTAAAATTTCTTTGTGGTGAAGTATAGTAAGTGTAACACCTTTACTTACATTTGACCTGGTATTCCGTAATACAGTACAGGCTTATGGTACAAAATGCTGAATGATCATGGGGAAAAGCAAGATGAGAAGACTTTCTAGTATTAGTTTGTAGATTTTTTTTTTTTTGGTTGTTGTTTGTCAACATGAGCGTGTTGCTCTGAAAACGGTAACGTGAGGCTAGTTTGGATAAGTTACTGCATGGTAGTAGATAGCGTTCCAAGTGTTAGTCACAGACACACGCATACTGTTCTGAATTTGCTTTGTGTTGAAAACAATAACAGCTCATCTACAGTTCCCATTTTCTAAAGTGCTGTTACCAAAACAAGTTATTTATAAACTAAATTAATATAATTCCACATGTGGGTTTTTTTGGTTTTACTACCAAAAATGCGCTTTTTTGTGACCTTTCTAAATGTGCATTAGTTCTTCAGACCGTCTGGAATGTGTATAAAATCTTTTTATGTACTTTAACTATGAAATAATTGTGAACAACTATTTAATTCTTTTTTAACGTAAAGTGAATAAATTGTCATTAAATCTCCCTTCTAAAGTAGAACATGGAGTCTGTTAAAACTGATGTGTAGCATTCTCATCTTCTCTAATCTTTTCCAAGTATGCCCTCCATCCGTGACAAAAAGCACAAGTTTAGAGACTGGCAATTGTGTAGCAGCATGAGCCCAGTAATGAGAGGGGAAGACTTTTAGACAGATTGAGAGAAAAATGTTAAGATCCACTTGAGAGTAAAACAGGCTTTCTTATGCTCGCTTTCAAAGTTGCTGAAGTGATTGATGGGATGTGTGTAGTCTCAAAAGAAAAGTGTCCTTTGCTCATGCAGAAAATCTTTCCACTACAAAGTGCTATTTTATTTTGAGTACTTGGGAAGATTTAAAGAAATTACAGATATTTTTTTTTTTTTTTAAATGGGTGTTTTATGCTGTTTTATGTGTGGTTATTTTCACTGATTTGAATAGTCGTTTGCATTCATGTGATGATACCCTTTCACTCATTGCTTAAGAGAGCGCTCACCTGCGTGTCCTTATAAAACAGATGGGTTTGGTTTTTAGCAATAAGAGTTAAATTGAAAGTCAGAAGTTGATAAATTGATGTGTTAAGAGAAATAGTAGAGATGGTAAAGGTGAGTGGGTTGAGCTTCTGATAAATATTCAAAAGTTTCTACAACCTGTAAAACAGGGACAGGAAATCTTATTTCTTCTTGCTATCAGAGGACTATTTGAATGTGCTGGGGAGATCAAAGTGGAAAGGGTGGAAACCTGTGGTCTTTAACTGGGTTAACTTATGGAGAGGGTAGCCAGTTCAGCAGTTTGAAGACCCGGATCTGGTAGCAGATAAGGTGTGATGACTCAGCCGTGGCAGCTGGCAGATTTTAGAGGACTGATAGCGTCCAGGAGGGCAGGGGTGACAAACAGCTGAGAGTGGTGACTCGTGGTGGAGGGGGGGTCTGAAAGGGTGGCTGCCCTTGGCCTCGGTCAGTGTGCTTGCAGCTAGAAAAAAAGGCGCTTGTCTCAGGACATTTAGAAACTTTGGGAGGAGAAAATCTGAAATAAACAACCTAAAGTGAGAGGGAATAACATGTAAATTATGAAGTGGTTAAGCTTTTTAACAAAAGCGTGGGATAAAGGTGTTGCCTTTTTACTGTAGTGAGTACATATAGAAGACTAACAGTTCCTGGTGTCTAAAACTGCCTAGTGTAAATTCCCAGGGTAATATTTTTTTATAAATGAATTATGAATACTCGTACAAACAGATCAAGAAATGATCGGATCCTACGTGGTTGGGTTTTGACAAAATTCATACAGGATACACAGTGTATATGTCCATGGCTGATTTCATATGAGCTCTGCATAACCATGTTGATCTGTGATACTCAAAGGACTTGGTTGTTTCTAAGGTTGTAGGTGAAGTTCTGCTATTATTGCTAGTGTTTTATATCCCCGTTTTGGTAATAAAATAAAGATTTTATTGTTTTTACCTGTTCAGCTACTGACAAAGTAGGATCTTAAATTCATTTATCACTGTCTTCATGTCATAGCAGCATTACCACTCAGACTTTCTTGACTTTTGTAAATAATACTAAGCAGTAAAAACTATTTAAAATAGGCTTTTTATTGTTACTGTTAACAGAGTCTTTAGTGCTTTTCTTGTCAACAAGGCTGCACCTATTACTTTACTCAGGGTTTAAGAAAATTGTATGGGTTTTGTTTACTTTGATATTCTTTTGCAGAAACAAATGTTTAAGCAGTCACTGAGTTTCTTTTGTAGGCGTGTATTGAGATTAAACATAATTTCTTTCAAGCTTGCTAAATTAGAGTGAGATATAGGGGTAACTTCTGGTTTTACTTGTATTTTAACAGTGAAAGCAAGTTGAATACATTGGTGCAGAAACTTCATGACTTCCTGGCTCACTCATCAGAAGAATCTGAGGACGCAAACTCTCCTCCAGCACTATCTAAAAACAAAACCATAGGTAAAAGGACATTTTATGGGTTTATTTTCAATGTATATATGATTCTAAAGTCAAATAACTTAGTGTTGCTTTTTCACTATATCGCGCTTCACTGGGCCAATTATGCAAAGTCCTAATGTGATTTAGGTGGTGATATCGTAATAAATATACAATAGGCCTTTGATACAATATTTCTTTCAATTCTGAGTCTTTTCTAAATGTGAAAAAAAGCTAATTCTCCTGGTAATTTGCCTTCTATGAAACATGAGATGACAGACGTGCATGTATTTGCTGTGCTAGAGGATCCTCGTTCAATCTTCCTGAATGTGTAAGTGCGGTGTGTCAGCATCAAACTGAACTGTTAACATAGGAAAAGGAAATTCTTCGTATGATACTTCAGCAGAATAATAAACTAAACTGTGATGTAGGTGCATGTCAAAGTGAGATTTTGCTGATGAGCACTTACTAATTAATAGCAGACATGTTTCTGTGTTGGTTTTGAGATCTCAGAATGTATTTCTTAAAAAAGAAGATACTAAAGTTGAAAAATTGAGAATTAAATACTTAAATATTATGAAATGCCTGAATGAACTGCAAATTTACTTTCTGTCCCAACTTTCTGTGAATAATAATAGTGTCTTTAGCAACTGTGCTTTTTTTTTTTTTTTTAAAATCCATAGGGTGCTCATTCAGTGTACAAGTGATAGATGTGATTGGGGCCAAATTAGATTTGTATAGTAGTGGAAATTGTTTTGTTCCAGCATTTGGAGGATATGTGAACTACCAGGGAGGGTATTGTGAGGAGGGAGATGGTGATGAAGATGATTAAATGTGGCTCAAGAGAGTTGGAACATGTCCCTGCCACACACACACAGGTCAATTGAAATATGAAGCAGTTGCTTGCTGAGCCCTTCATCTTTTGCACTGCTGTGGAACTGAACTGTACCATCATACTAGGAAGGATAAGCAAAGTGAAGTTGCACCAGTTACTTTCCTTCTGGCTTTTCTGAATTTTTGGGTACTCGATTATACAGCCTTAATAATGTTTCTTTATCCTTTCTGCCTTTGAATTGGATGTCCCTCCTCTACGTTGCATGGGTGCCAGCAGGAGAATCACCATGAGCGTAGCAGAGACTGGCTTCCTGCTCTTGTTTCAAGTGACCGGCCCCTGCCCTGCAGCGGCAGTCACGGGGCAAATCCTGTGGGCTCACAGCCCTGAAGTGGATGGGGCCTGTGCAGCTGGACCAGCGGTAGGGGCTGCAGTAGGAGCTGCAGTGAGCCCTGCCATGGGGGTGCTGCGTGTGCAGCCCAGTCACACGTAGGAACTGACAGTGGAAGCGTGCTCAGTTGGTTTTGGGAGTAGGACGTGTGCAGGCTGAATGCAGAAGCTACAGAGATTGTAGCTGCCAGAATCAAAGACATCTCTACCGAGCATGAACAAACTGGTGTTTTCCATGGATTTGTTGCTTGGGCAAAATTGGTCAAGAGCAGAAGGTGGGCAGTGTCTAGTCTCCAGAAGAAATGTCAGCCTTCTTCCAAATTTCAGGTTCTTTCCTCAGAATAGGGGAATGCCAGTAATATTCCAGAGAAGAAATTTCAGGTACTTAAAAGGACCAAAACGTTTGTTTCCATTTTTTATTCCCTTCTACCTCAGCTTCACATGCAGAAATGGCAAAACTGAAGTTTCAGGATATAGCAAGTTGGAGCGTTAGCAATCTTAGGTTAAAATCACAAATGGTCTTGATGTGTCGTGTAATTCTACCGCCACTTTACTTGCATGTTTCTCAGCAGTGCAGCTGTGAAAATGCTGCTATTACTGAGCCTTTTGAGCAGCTTCATACAAGTATCATTGAATCACTGAACTTGAAACTTTCCCTTCCATTACCTGGACAGGTGCATAGAACAGATACTGATAGGTTGCATGTCTTCAGGTTTTATATTCCACAGTTTCCAAGATCAAGAAATGGGAATTCTCTTATCGTACTCTGTATCAGATGGGATTTTCTTCTGTGGTTCCATGATCCCGGATTCAATACTATGTTTTTAATGTCAAGATGTGTTAAGAGAAAATATTTAAAGTTTAGAGATTAAAAAAAATGCACTAACTGTAATACTTGTGCATATACAGTTCCACTTTCGTTTCTTTGGTATTTCTTCACCAACAGGAAGGCTGGCTTTCAGCCCGTCAGCAGCTTAAGTGAAAGTCGTTTCTAAATAATTTCTGTGAAATTTATGCCGTACAGTGGGCTATGTTTTGTTGTGCAACAGGCTGTCTCTGAAAGTCACACAGGCACCTTTATTCACGCTGGTGAAACATAAACAGTGCTGTGATGTACAGTGTGAAGAACTTTTAGTATTTCTTGGATTCAGTGGATTCCTTTAATTTCTCTCCACAGGTAAAAGTAGAGAACTTAAAAGCAGTCAGTCTTCAATGGAGAACACTAGAGAAGAGGTAGGAATGAAAATGCTTTTGAATTTTAGTTGCCTGACTAGTACAGAATGGCTAGTATAGGAAATGCTGAGTTTGCTTTATTTCTTTTACAATAAATACTTGAAGAGTTTGTCTTTTTGCAGTAAATGTCATCATATCTGCTAAGCAGAGATATTAGCCGTAAAATACTGTTAAAAAAAAAAAAAAAAAAAATTAAATTTGGAGTGGTAGCCTGCAATGCAAGCAATCCTGTTGTTCGCCCCACTTCTTTATTTCTAAATTATCAAAATACATGAATTTATTTGGACAACTTAATTGTCTTTCTGATGCACAATATTTTCTGGAAAAATGTCTCTAACACAGTTTAGAGTTAGCTTTTACTTGCCTGAGGTATGCAGTTGCATTTTTGTGAAGAAATGCAAAATGTTGTTAATTGATTAAGATTGAGTATATTCTTTGACTTATGTGTAAACAGGCTCTTACTTCGTTTTGTTTAAGAGACTTGGTCTCTACCTCCTGTTTACACTTACACTCTGTTACTCGAATAACAGTAGGTCCTTAGTTGTCCTTTCAGGCAAATATGCTTCCTTTTTTAAAAAAGAAAAAAAGATGGAAACACAGGATCTTTATCAAACATGAGCAGATTTCTTCTATATGGTGTGTTATATACATCAAAGACATTTTTTATGTGGTTTGTCTTATTAATATCCGCTCTCCTGCCAGATGCGTTCTGGTTGACAGTATGTTAATATGTAGAGCAAGCACAAGTGCCAGAGTCCTGCCTTAGTTTGCCTTTATTGCAGAAAATGCAGGTATTTATTTGATACTGCCCAAACCTAGTTATGATACGTGTGCCCAAATTTCTGAAAAATCAGTTTTCCTGTAAAGACATCTAGCCCTTTCTGGCAGATGAGCCAGATGACAAGTGTCTGCGTTCTGCTGGCAGCTCTTGGGTGCGGAGCAGCGATAGCTCCCTAGTGCCAGCCTTCACGAGCCCTCCCTGTCTGCATGGCAGGAAAGATGATGGTTTCTTCACATTGCGTGAAAAACCTTCCTAGACCTGCCTAAGCTGCTGCAGCACTAAGTGATGTGAGAAATCCCAGTGAACTGTAAAAAAGTGCAAATGCACAGCAGTGGGGAGGGGGGTGGGTAGGTGCGAGTTGGGCCATTCTTCCCAGTGCTGGTCGTGCCAGTTAATGCTGCAGGGAAGGTACGGGAAGCAGGAGGCCCCAGTGATTAGGAGCGGCCAGTGACCACGAGCCATTCTCAATCCCTTCTCCAGAAAGCCGAGGGCACGTTCAGCC